TGTTGAGAAAGCAATGATCTACCAGAAAAATTAATTTTATGAAATGAGTCCTTTAAAAAGTCATCCTTTGCAGTGCCTAGAAATACAACTACAGTCTGCACTCATCTTTTAATAAATATAAACTCAGTTTTATACATTGGAAAATTCTGACCTAGCTGTTCCACTGTGACCAGGCTTCAGCAAAATGCCTTTCATGGTTCAGCTGAATGGCTTTGGTGTTTAGTGGAGGAAAATTTCAAATAATGTCTAAAATACAGTTTTTGAAGGATTTGTGCTTATGCTTAGTATGAAATAGCTATGTCTGTTGCTATGCTGTTGAGTATGTGCATGATCTGTTAGTTCTTAGGTAAACGTGAGGTTTTGCAGAACTAGAACCTTTGATGTAGAAAGGAAGAGCTAGAACCAACAGAACCAGATTTCTTTTCTCTTAAAATTGTGTTGATCCCTTTTGTTGTCGGATATGAATATTTTTGTCACTGCAATTTTCATATTGTTACTATCCCTTATCTATTTAGAGTCTGCCTTTGCTGTGATTTATGTTAAGGTTCTCCTCTAAATGGTGCAGCTGGTTCATAGTATTTAACATAGCAGAGAACCTGGAGGACTTGGGGTCAAGACCCTGTTGTGCTAGGTGCTGCTGAAGGATTTTGAATAAACATGTCCATGTCTTGGAGACCTAACACTTCCTTTTTTTGCTTTAAAGAGGCTAAACCCCTTTAAAGAAAAGGGGAAATAGTGTCATCATGCAACTCTTCTCTGTTACAGCAGCAGGGCTAGTCATGTAATACCTTGATTTATAACAGTGTTGTAATCTAAATAGGAAGCAGGTGGAATTACAACTGGGTATGATACTTTGGATATTAATGGCTTGGCTTGGCAGTGGAATTCTAAAGCTGTATATACTTTTTCTGTCTTAATTATGCATTCATTAAAAGCTTTTATACCCAACAGAATAAAGTAAATATTGTTTGATCTCTGTAGTGTGCTCCCGGACTGTAGATTTGCACAGCAGGGTCTTGATAATCTGAATAAATTGCATTTCCCCAAGGAGTTTATCTTTCAAATAAGGTCATAAAGAAATGCATTCTTTCCCCTTAGTTCTCCTTGTGCTTTTTCTGCTATTTATAACACGGAGCAGAGGAATAGAAGTGTATTGTAGTCTTCTGTGTACTTGGTTATGATTAACTCTAATTTATCAATCTGTTACTTACATCCTTTTCTGTGGCTTGTGCAAGACAATTATTATTTAAAGTACAAACGAATAAAGATGGATTTGGAAGTAATTTAAATACAATATTTATATCTATTATTCGTTTGACAATGTATAATATCTCTATATTAAAATACACCTCCGTATTAAAACACGGACAATGTCCTATCATTTATTTTGAATATTTAATATTATCGTCTTTCAGATTATGTTTGTTCGGAAAACTGATTTTCTTTTATGAGGGTTTTAAATGCCAGCTCATTGTTAAACTGGTTTGGCATCTAAAGGTTGTTACTACTGAATTAGAAGACCACTAGTGTAGAACAATAGATTCTCTTCAGAGAGGGGGAAACTGGGGGATCTATATATATATATATCTATATCTATATATATAGTAAGTAGGATGTGTAGGATCAAAGATAGTTTATCATTTTAGAAGTAGACACTAATAAATAATTTGGCCAATTTATTAAATAGGTTTGAGTTTACTGATTTTTGATTTTAGTACTATTTCAGCTGTTAGTTTTAAGATGTGTATATATAATCTTACACACGTTTTCTTAGTCTGAAAGTGTTTCAGCAGTGTAACATACATCACATTAGAAGAGATAAGATCACTACCTTTCCCTAATTCTCTTCAGCTCTTAGTGACAGTTCTGCTTGTGTTCATATTTCATCGTTCAGTTCAAAAAAGATAAGTGGCATATATTTAAAAGTTTATAAAAGCAAGATTAAAAGTTTCAATAATTTACATAAACCCATTTTGTATTGCATGTTTTTAAAGAACGTATACTGCAATACAGAACCAGAAGGAAGTTCCACACAACTCTTACATTTTGTAGCTGCTCTTTTAACACAATATAATAAAATTGGTGGAAAACAAGAGACTTCCAGAACTCTTATTCATGACCACACCTAAATTTAATTTCATAGTAACCTATGTAATTTTTTAACAAAGTTTTTAACTCAATTAAGTGTTTAGTATGAAAATCTATTCAAATCAAACTGAGTTGATAGGGATTGCTTTGATACTTCCTGTTGGATTTGTTTAAGCTAGAAGGTAAGGTGCTTGCTTTTTTTTTTTTTCCCAACTAACTTACATACTGCTGATGTTTCTGAAAGTCTTACCGCACGTGAAGAACTAGATTATCTGGTCTGTGGTATACATCTTGCAATCTCAGTGTGACATTTTTTCCCTCTAGTATCATTACAGAGACAGTAATGTATAGTACTGTATAATTTTAATTTGAATATTGGTATGACAGTCTGATAATTTTAATTTGTAAAAGCTAATGCACTACTAGCTTCTTTGGCTGTGAAACAAAACCCTGTAGATAACTCTAACCTTACAAAAACAGGAACAAATGTTTCTGATTACAGGCCCTGACCAGTTTTATCAAAATATACTTGCAGTATTCATCAAGCAATAAACTGTAAGTCCAGCAGGTCACTAACACATTACGTTAGGCAAAGCATAAAAAATCCTCTGAAGCTTAACAATGAAAATAAGTAAACAAAGAAACCCCCATGATAAATAAATAATTAGACACATAAATAAATAAGCATCTGAAATAAGTGAACATATACAAATAAAAATGAATAATACTGTAAACAAGCAACTGGTGAGAGTTTATTTGTCCAACCAGAAGTATATTTGGCCTCTTCAACCATGTGACAACTTCCATAAAAAACTTCAATTGGTGTTGATTTGAGGGGGTAGGGGAGTGGGGGGGAATCATAAAAAAATACGCAAACCAAAAATGAAGGTTTACCAGTGTCTTTCAGATTTCATTGAAATTGTGAAGATTTTTCAGGGGAAAACTGCATTTGTGTGTGATAATACTGTTTCTCTCTAGTGAACAAAGGTTTTATTATGATATCTCCAGTATTGTCCTCTTCTGAAGTCTGCCAAAAGCCATCTATCCTTCTTCATTGACCCATAGTGGGGTTTGGTCAGAGCTGTATTTTAGTTGGGCTGTTGATCCTCCAATCACAGTGCTTGATTATTTATTTGTTTATTTTAATCCTCACCAGATTATACTCCTGTGTGTTGTTGCCACCATTGCATGGCCATCACAGAAGTGGTGGTGTGAGGTGCCATCTGTCATCTGCAGATATTAAATCACCAAGCAAGCACACAGACCAGATACTTCTCATCATGTAAAATATATTCCTTTCTCTTTCCTTCTGCAATTGGTGAGGGTTTATCCTTACCTCCTCTCTGTTAGTGTGAAGAGGAACTGACACTAGCATATCTGCGGCTTTTGGGATGATGCCTTGTTCTGACAATGTAAAGAACTTCTCTTTGTTCTTCCAAGAAAACAATATGAAATTCCTGTGCAGCAGTTTAAGTAGATAATGAATAGTTTTATCTTTAATGTACCAGCCTGCTAGGGAAGGTGTGTGGTTCAGACTGGGAGATTATGCAACAGGCAGGAGCCTCTGCAAGATTCTGTTTCCTCCAGTACTGACTCCTCTAAGCAGGTGAAAAAAATTCTTTCTCCACTCTCCATTGCATATGCATAAACAGCTCCGCAGTCATCAGGACAGCCACCCAGTTCACACGTTTGAGATGCAGTCCCTAAAACATTCCAAAAAACCCCCTCTTCGCACTTTCCCATCTTCCCTGTTGCGCTGCTCTATCTGCCAGCCGTGCAGCTCATTTGACATTTACAAGATTTCTTGTCAGTTTCATTTGGTGCCGCCATTCCATCCAGCAGAGCAGGGAAAGTGAAATTGACTTAATTTAGTCTGTTTCTCTTTCCCGCTCTAGTCCCTGTGTTAACTAACCAGCAAAGTGAAACTGACAAGGCTTCTTGTCATTTTCACACATGTTGCTGGTCAAGGAGAAGGCGGCTGATAGGGAGCAATGCGGTAAATTGGAAGATGAAAACCAGGATTGTGGAGGGGAGAGGAAGAGAAGTGTGAGTGTGCAGCGAGAGCAGAGAAAATGGGTAAATGTGCTCCTTTTCCAGACGTCCTGGGTGCTTTTCTCTAACATGAGTGAATTCTTGGCCTCTCTTCTGAAGAATGTATGGTCTAGAATAGCAGTAGTTAGCTGTCCAGACACTAATTTACAAGAGATGCCAAGTTGAAAACATTAGCCCGTAAATATAGGTTATCTGTTACCAGGATGGAAAAAACTTCCTGCACCGAGTTACTGTAGCTTTTGTCTCTGTAGATTTTCTGCTGCTAGAAGGAGGGGCAGAAAGAATACGAGGCAAATATCCACTAGAGGTTGATGTCAGTGGTTAGGAAAAAAAGGTCTATTTGTTCATTGAAGATAAATTTATACATAACAATATGTAGCTCAGCATCTCGCATTTCGTGAAGTTTTATGGAACAAAAAGTCATGCTACACAGGTGCTCTGTCTCAATCAAGATGGTAAATAATGAACAAACAGTTGCTTTGTAACAAATTATTGTACTTAGATATATTTTTAATCCACTTGTTAACTCCTGCAAGCTTTTGTCACACAGTGTAAATCATGCTGGTTTATTATTTTGTGTACTAATCCATATTTCTTACAGATGCTGTATGCATATATAACCTTAGCAGTTGCAATATAAATTAGTACTATCATATGTATTTGCATATGCACTGGTAACATTTGCACATACATTTTGAATGAGGCTGTGTTAATTAATTTAAAATTATATTACTTTCCTTCTCTACAGCTTCAAAAGAATAATCTTTTTTCTTTATCTGAAACCTGTGGGATTTTTTGTTCTCTGTTTTGTTTTGAGGTTTTTTTTTCTGAGACATATTTTGTTTGCTTCACCCATTTAGGAATTAAATAGTTTAAATTACTTGGACCTGTATAAGCTCGCAGACCTCTTCAACCTCACTTTGTTGGAGAATGCAGTGGTTGACTTCTTAGTAAAACATCTTTCTGAGCTATTGAAGAGTCATCCTGAAGAAGTTCTGGCACTCCCATACTGTCTCCTTCGAGAGGTTTTTAAAAGTGATAGACTCACTTCACTCAGTGAAGAACAAATCTGGCAGGTAAGGAGACTGGTGAACAAGCAGAATGTGTGATACTCTGTACATCATAGCAGTAATCTGTTGTTTTGAAACCCTGGAGCAATCTCAAGGGAGAACAAGCACTTGAGCAAAAACTGTGAATAACAACCGAGAGAAATTTTAAAATGAAATTCAAAAAATGTTGTGTTGTGTTAATGCAATTAGTTTGTTTGGAAGAGAAATTTGTCTTATTGCTTAACTTGTGTTACTCTAATGTGGCCAGAGATTTTTTTTTCCAGATCCAACTTTGTTGGTGGGAAGAGATGGCCAATACATGCAACTCAATTATCATTGCCTCTTGTGAGGCTGGTGCCACAAGTCTGGCAGCAAACCTGCTTCTGCATTCTCTCCCGTTCACTTCAGACAAACTTAGCTGTGGAACCTCAGTAGTTATTTAAATTGTTTAGGCTACCACAGCTGACTTTGCCTGAAGCAAATTAGCGAATCATCGTGCAGGCTGCTCTGCTCAGAGGTGAGTGGAGGCATCAGTGGAAGATTTGTGGCAAGAAGCTGGAGGTGGTGATCATTTCTTTTAAGAAAACTGACTCTAGAAAAGGCCCAGGTTGCTAACCATAAAATATCAACAGGGTGAAAACATCTTAGGACCTTGAGTGTGGAGAGCAGTGGGGTGGGAAACCTAATATGAAAAAAAAAATCAGCCTGTAAAGAGAAACACGAAAACTAAAACAAAATCTATCCTTGGAAACGTTTCCATCATATGTATATAAAAATTGCAATTCACAATGTACTAGGAGCAAATCTCTATAACACTGTTTGCTCAAACCTTTCTGTTTCCTTTTTGCTGTTAGGTTTTATAGAAGGAAAGTATTTCAGAGTATTTCAAGGTAGAATGTAACTTCCTAAAAAGGAAGTATTTCTTTCAAGCAAGTGGGTTATCTTGGTCCAACAGAGAAGACTGAGAGTAACAAGACTGATTTATATTCCAGTCCCTGTTATTTATATACTTATCTTTTTGATTATTCTAAGCAAATAATTTAAACTATATGCCATTGTTTTCTCAAAGCGTAAAATGTGTCTTTATCTGTGGAATACTTCGTGTTCTCTAGGTGAATAACATCACACAGGAACAAAATATTTATTCTTTAAAAGTAAAAATGTCTAGTTAGGCTCTTCAAACCACAAAGACAGTATACAGAGGTAACTTAACCCTTCAGCTGGACAACTAGAATACTTGTTTCCAAAACTTTGAGGCTTTAGATCATGGGGTATTTTGTAAAGATTATATTTTCTGCAGATATTAATATCAAGTTAGACTCTTGACTATCCTAGTCTCTGGAGGATGTCTGTACAACAGAACCTGTGTCACAATACCCATGATGGTGGGTTTGGTTTGGGTTTTTTAGGCATGACACTGTGGAGCACTAGCCCATATTCCTTTGATCAGAAAACATTTTGATTTACAAGTTCATATATGGGGCATGGCCGATTGGTCAGTTGGGTTTTGCCATAATTTCTCTGCAGGATTAGTGAAATCTCCTAGCAATGTGCTTGGATATGCTTTTGCTAAGAAAGTTGCTACAGCAAGCCACACAAGTGTTATTTAATGCCAGCTCAGTAATGAACAAGCGTACAGGGTAATATGCCCCATGCAACCTGCTGAAAGAAAGTTTGGGAAGTGGGAGTTTTTAAATCTTGTGTCATTGTCCTGTCCTGCAGGAAGAACTTGGAAATAATTTTCTTAATTGTGGGCACTCCACTCAATGAATACTTAACGAGGCAAATATGACAAAACTTCTGTTTCTGTTGCAGAGTCATCCTGGGGAGAGATACTTATAGGTAATATGCTGCTTTTTGAGTGACAACAAACTCCACACTGTCCATTTAAGTGTTATCATAATTGCCTCTCTAAAGGTTACTAATGCTGTTCCGAATAATTTTTTGAAACTAGTTTTCAGCTGCGGGCAAAACGTGCATGTACCTTTTTAATTCAGTCTGTACATGCAGGAATAAATATATATTTATAAATATTCCAGGTCCCCAGAATGAATTAAAAGACATACATAAATATTTACCAATTTAGACATTCAGAAGGCAATAAGAAACTGTTTTTTTGCTTTATCTTAGTAAATAAGTAATTCCCTCATAGTCAACCCAATAGAAGAAAATCAAATCAGACCAGCTATATTGCCTCAAGTGTAGTTAAGTTCATCATTTTTGCTAAGGTTATAGTGGTAATGCAATATACCATGGAAGAATCTAATATTCAGCCCAGGGTGAAGATTGGGTATGCCAGAGGATTAGTGTCAGGGTGCTTTATAGAAGTGAAACTTGATGGACAGGCTGGAGACAGATCTACAGAATCTCATTAAATTGCTGAATTGTTCATTACTGAGCACTCTCACTGTAATAAAGTGCTCATTGACTTTGACAAATCCCCATCCCATGTCTTAAGGAAGAACAGCAAAGCAAGAGGTGTTGGGGAAGCTGGAGGAAATTGGCACAAAGTGGGGCAGATAATAGAAAAGCTGATGGGGGATGCTATCGTTTGATTTGTCTGTCTTACCTGTGACTAGTGTGGCCTCCTGCACACACACGTGTATGTGTGTTATGGCGATAGGAATTCAGCGTGTCCCCAAGGCACCTCTAGTAGTAGGGCTCCCACGAAGCCTTAAGCACAAATTAAAGCTTCCCTCAGAGAACCTCTGGAAAGGGTGCCACAGTCTGCAGAGCACGGTTATTTTCACTACTTTAAATTCCCAATGTCCACTGGGCAATCTGATCCTAATGCACATAAAGATTAAGGCAGTTATTTTAATGTTTCAAAATGTGTGCACAGAGTGATGCTTGGTTGTGATTTAAACTAAAGTGACTGCAGCTCATATCCAGCACATTTTGGATTTTTGTTAGACTACCAATTCACAATTGCCCAATTTTAGTGAGTGTGATGAAATATAACCTTGAATAAACTAAGTGTGAGAAAGTTAAACAGTAATATTAATGTCAATATACTGGGATGTGGATTAATGTAGAGTACTACAGAAATTCTTGTTGATTCTTTCAGAAAGGAAAATGTGACTTCCAAACCAGGGTAAAGTGGGCAAACTAAGTAGTTCATTCCTCTTAAAATCTTGCAAAGCTCTTTGGCCTAATGTAGGCGTCTTATTTTTAGTGTAGACAAAACACAAGAAATATAATGTATTTCTTAAAACAAATGACCAACAAAAAGAAGGCCCACCAGAAAACCTCCGTAGACTGTGAAATTGGAGTAATTTACTAGCCTCCATCATTGGGTTTTTTTGGTTTTTTTTAGCTAGACTAAGTAGTAACAATGCTTATTAGATGACACAGGATTTTTTTTCATATTTATTTTTTACATTTTACTAGCTTATGAGATTACATAATACTGTTTTTTTATATAAGAAATTTATGATTTGTCAGCTGCATTAAAATGCAAGTAAATGTAAAACAGTTACATGGAAGAAAGGATTAAACAGGAAATGAAGACAAAGGATGAAGAAGTTGAAGGAAAAAAAAACAAATTATTTGGTATTTTTCCTCTTCATCGTGAGCTGTGCACGCTTTTTTCCACAGGAAACGATCATAGTGAAAACATAAATGTCTAGTTTATCATGAAGTGAAAAGTGAATCTTTTCATAATTGGCCATTACTAGAAAGGCTCATTGGCTCTACTTTAAGGAAGCAGATGATTTCTTTCCCTTGATAATTGAAAAGGTAACCAACCCTGTGCAACAGAGTGCATTCTCAGAGAAATCTAGCAGTAGAGGGTTTCTTGTTGGGACCTTAGCAAGTAGAAAGCAAGCCAAAGATTTAAGTAGTAAACTGATGTTAGCCTTAGTTGTAGCTTGGTTATGCCTTATCATGTTAATTATTGAAAGCTTTAGTGCCATGAGACTTAAATGTTCATATTTCAAGGATCGTACTAATAGTTAGATATAAAAATACTTGCTGGATCATTCTGTCTCCCAGCAATACATTGGTCAAATGATACTGTATTAAATACTGCACTTGATCAAAGGTGAATTTTCGAATCACATTTGGCAAAGAATCTTAACATGAGATCAGTATAGATTAGTTTCTTCCTTTTCCACTACTGGTTAAGGAGGTTGTTAAAGGATATATCTTTTTTAAACAGCTAACAAAAAATAGATCCATTTTAGTATTCGCCAATATTTCTTCTGAAGTTAAGGTTAGAAGTTTTTTTCTTGTTTTGTTTTGTTTTTACTTTGTCGTGTGACTCAGTTTATTGGTAATGAAGTGATAAGCAAGGAATATAGGAAAAACTGGTAGATAAAACTGTGTGAGTAGTTTATTCAGCTAGAAAGCACACAACTATGTTGTGTATTTTCCAGGGCTAGGCTCCCAAGAAATTCCAGCCTTGTTAACTTCCTTGTGTGTAACTCGTGTTCATAAATCAGATGTTACACATATTAAAGTGTAGCACTAGCTAATCCTTTTGATATTGTGGGTGTGATATGCAAAATTAGTCTTTGGTCTCTGTACTCGAGAAGCATCTTTGCTTGAATAAATAGAAAAAATAAGACAGGAAGACTATAGTGTTACAGATCAATATGCGTTGTTAAGCATCTATTTTATAAAAATAATAAATGTATACATCCTATAGTGCTGTTTAGCCTTTTCTAAGGAAGAGTAAAGTGTCCTATTTTCAACTGCCTTTTCTTATACCTGAGCTCCATTTTGAATCTCCTGATGGCATTTGTGGAGGGCCAAAAGTATTCTCCAGCAGAAATCCCAGAGAATTCAGTACTGTAGGAAATTTGACAGTGTGTGTATTATTTCAGGCTGTTACGATGGAACAATTCACTGCTGAAGACAGGCCCATAGGCATCTTCCATACATCTTCAGTGATGCCCATGTTTTCCTGTGCAGAACAGCAGTTTCTGAAGTGGGTTGTCATATTCCAGTAGAGGCTTGCCATTCCTTCAGTGCAATACTTGAATTTTTTTTTTTTTGCTGTCTGTCTTTTGATTCTACAGAGCAAT